TTTTAATACCAATAATCCAATCAAAACTAACCGTCAGTTACCCGCACCTACACAACAGATACACGTTTTAATGGATTTTAAATCGCAATTTAAAACAGATTTCTAAGCAATTGATGTGTTTTTGTCGATGTGTTTGTCGTAATGTGTTTTCAAATCTAATCAATTTATTAATTCTCTGTCTCTTAGACGTAAAAATTATTTATACTTTATTTGTAGCGATTTGAAAATCGTTTATTTTTTGGGATTAATTAAGTATATAATTAATAGCATAGAAGCATTTTAGTTGAAGTAATTATATTTAATTTATATAATATTTACATATTTTAAAATTTTATTCCGAAATCATAAACAAAATTATACAACAAAATTAATGGGAAAATAATTCTTAAATTTGAATAATAAAACTTTTAAATAATAAACATGTTTATTAACCATAACTAATTATCTATAAATTGATTAGATTTTAAAAGTTTTTTATGTTAAAAAGTGTTGGAGTTATTGAATATTTGCTTCAATTATAAATTAATTCTTTGGAAATATATATAAATAAATGAAAATCACTATAAATTCAAAAATACAAATGTAAATATGAATAATTTATTAAATGATTTCTAAAGAGTGGTATTTAACTGTAATTATATTTGATGTAAATATTTAAATAGTAGACCTGTCTCACATTACTAATAGGTATAAATGATACCAATAAATAACACCATTACAGTGTAATTAAAAACATGATTATATTTTGCGTGGTTTTGCTTTAAATTGTCTGAAATACTGGTTTGAAAATTGAAATTTATGTTAAAATATATAAATAGATATAATATATTGTAAATGATTTAATACTTCATTTGTTTTATTTGTGAAAACTTTTACTGGAAATTAGTTTGTATTAAAATGTTTGTTTAATTAATTGTATAATTATTATAATTATTATTACATTTCATTTCTACCAAAGAAACTAATTTTCAAATGAGTTATTGTTATCCTAATCTTATTATTCAAATTGAAAACATATTTTGTATTAACTTTTTTTGCATTTCTATATTTCCAATACTCTATTATTACATTTCATTTCTACCAAAGAAACTAATTTTCAAATGAGTTATTGTTATCCTAATCTTATTATTCAAATTGAAAACATATTTTGTATTAACTTTTTTTGCATTTCTATATTTCCAATACTCTTATAATTTATTTAATCTTTACTTCAATTATAATATCATTTTTATTTTTATTCCAAATAATAAAATGATTATTAACTGATTATTTAATTCAATGTATAATTATTATTGATAATTAAACAATTTGATGGCATTCATTCAATCATTTATATTCTTAGTCCAACAATATTTGGTGAGTTTTGAAATACAGCCAAACTTATGCTAAAAGTTTGAACCAAACTTTGTTTACGAGTAAGTATTAAATAAAATTTTAAGTAAAAGACATGTCCCACCTTATCATTGTGAAAGCCATTCATGATATCGATGGTGCATTTCATAGCCCCCACTGACCCCCACTGACCCCCACTGACCCCCACCAAACCCCCATATATTTTGAAAATTGATGCGTACAATTTTGCACAATGCTACTTTAACCTTATCCATCATCCGCTCATCCATGAGACCCAACTCCTGCAACCTCTTCATCTTCTGGGCAAACAAGTCATCGACGTTGTCGTCCACACGGATGTCGTCGCCCACCGAATCCGCCACCACTTTCAGCCCATCCTCGGACATCGATGGCTCGCACATCATATGATGAGTCAATTGGTTGGCATTGACTCCAAGAGTTTTGTGGCAATGGTTTGTATCACTCAATGGTTTCACTCAAAGACTGTCTGTTTATTCGCCAAAAGCACTGCAAATGTTTGCAAAACTCAACACAATTTGTAGCATTAATTACGTCAAAAGCATTGAAATGTCAGCATTGCTTCATACAAATAAGAATGGACCAGGGTACTATTCCACTTACCAGGATACTATTCCACTTACCAGGATACTACTCCACTTACCAGGATACTATTCCACTTACCAGGATACTATTCCACTTACCAGGATACTATTCCACTTACCAGGATACTACTCCACTTTTGAGCAGTTTTTGTTTTTGATTTAGTTTTCAATTGAATTAAAATATTTATAGAAACAAACGTCCGTTTAGTTGATATTTATATTAATTTTGTTTTGTTGAGTGCTTTTCAATTGAATTCATTCCCAGAATCAATAGATCGCTGTCTAGTGCCAGATGTGTGCCTTTCCTACCCCAATACAACCATAATCCACTGTCCACTGTCCACCATCCCATACCATGGCCCACAACTGCACAACACTTGGCATTACACTGACCTAATCTCTGACACATACAATATTCTGTAGTACTGTACACAGTAAGCACCAAAACCCAGTTCAAATATTTCAAATAATCTACCGTAATAGACATTTACAAAAAAAATACAGTCAACTATTAATAAATTTACAGTATTTTATGTGAACTTTATTTTTGAACTACAAGTTTTGAGCAAGTACATTTGAAAAACTTGAATAAATTATATTAATTTAAATATTGAGCTGTATAAATGATAACTAAAATATATTTATCTGTATAAAGTAACTCGAATCTAATAAACAAAACTTAATCTTAAAAATATAAAACATGAACAATTTTCTAACACAACTCGTTATGACTAATTGTAATTCATTCTCAATGTATAAAATGATTGGAAATACTTTCCTAGCAAATGTATTACCGTAAACTTTTCATATAAACCTAATTCAGGTGTGAATTAAACATAAAAATTAAATCTGAAAACAAATGTAAATTTACGATAAACTCAATGATGTGTTTGTTTGAAGTGATCACTCAATTGTCGTTTGGAAATGAATGTAATCTCACAACCAATGGATTGACATCTAAATTGTTTATCGCTTTCGTGTAAAATAAAATGTCGTTTAAGCGAACCTAAAGTAATAAATTGTTTGTTTGATTAATAAATATTTGAAAAAAGTTGATAAACAATATGAAATTGCCTTTGAATTTGAAACTCTTTCCACAGCCGTCCCAATGGCAGGTGAAGTCAGCCGTTCCCCTGTGAACCACTTTATGCCGTATTCGCGACGACGCCGATCGAAACCTTTAGTTTGAAAAATCACATTTTCATAACTCACTAAACATTGTCAACCAAATCAGTTCAAACAGTAGACATACACCGCTTCACATCCCGGCCTAAACTCATGAATAAAACCAGACATTTAATGAATAGCTTTCACTCAAATATCATACGATGGGTTCATACCACTCGCATTTGTAGGGCTTCTCATTGGTGTGGATCAGACAGTGGTGTTTCAGATTTGAATTACTCCTGAATGCCTGTCCACAGGACGGCCAGTCGCACGCAAATGGCTTTAATCCCTCGTGACTGGCTTTATGGACAATGAGGTGAGTGTTTCTGTTAAACGATAAGTCAATTAGAAATTATTTACTAATTTGCAGATATAATGACTACGAGCGCACCGGTAGAAACTGGACTCACATCCCGGCCAAACACATCTAAAACATAATAGAAAATAATTTCTTAGAAAATGAACGCAAAATGTTTGAAATGCTAATCACTTGAAGGGTTTGTTTCCGATGTGTTTCATGTAGTGTTCGGCTAAACCTCTGTATCGTTGGCTTTCATACGAACAGTCCTTCACATCACACCTAAAGATAGACCTATTCTTGTCGTACATATCGTTATGAGTGTCGCGGATGTGATCCAAGAGACGCTTCTTAACCGAAAACTTCACATCACATCGGATACAGTCGATTGTCTTCAACACATCCACACAATTATCGTCGGTTTTATTGCTTTTATAGTTTACTGTCCTTTTGGTCCAACTGTTCCCACATTTATCACCAATTCGTGACTTTTTGCTATCGATTTGTCGTATGATTTGACTCTCGATTGCAATTCTCTTCAACTTCTTAGCCCTGTCTTCGCCACTCTTACGTCCAGTACTTCTCATCACTTTAGTGGTCATCGCGTGAGGTCTCGTGAGTGCAGTCGGTGTATGGCTTCTGCGGACATCACTTCCTCTGACACTCCGCTGCCAATCCATGCGAAGACACTTGTATTGAGTCTCCAACCGATTGAATGCCAACTTATGGTCCAAAGTATGCAAACATTTACAGTCATTATTGAATTTCTTCAGAGTTTGTCTCAAACGGTGCAACAGATCCATGCATTTGACCGCAGAGGACATCTCGTCGCTCAGACGCCGGTTCTCGTCGCACAACTCGTCCAACACGTCCTTCACTCGCACCACAACCGCATTGGTGTCGGACATCACCCGTGGATCCAATGGTGTGATTGTCTCGTGTTTGACACCGATGTCAACACAACTCATGCATTCAGTCATCGCTGTGTTTGTCAACAAATGAATGCTTTTCAGGGATTGCATACAAATTGCATATAAATTGCATACAAATTGCATTCATTCACACACTTCACGCTTTCAATACAATTCTGGTCATCATTGTAGGCATTTTCGCCACTAATTTCATATTTAATATAATTCATTGCTATAACTTATAAATTAATAGCTTAATGTTATATGAAAACACATCATAATTATATACCAAATACGCTAATGTGTGCAGGGTATTAATATAATAAATTTACTTAAAATTTTATTTAATACTTACTCGTAAGCAAAGTATGGTTAAAACTTTTAGCATAAGTTGGGCTAAGAATATAAATCATTGAATGCCATCAAATAGTTTAATTATCAAAAATAATTATACATTGAATTAAATAATCAGTTAATAATCATTTTATTATTTGGAATAAAAATAAAAATGATATTATAATTGAAGTAAAGATTAAATAAATTATAAGAGTTGAGTATTGGAAATATAGAAATGCAAAAAAAGTTAATACAAAATATGTTTTCAATTTGAATAATAAGATTAGGATAACAATAACTCATTTGAAAATTAGTTTCTTTGGTAGAAATGAAATGTAATAATTATACAATAATTATACATTAATTATACAATTAAACAAACATTTTAATACAAACTAATTTCCAGTAAAAGTTTTCACAAATAAAACAAATGAAGTATTAAATCATTTACAATATAATATATCTATTTATATATTTTAACATAAATTTCAATTTTCAAACCAGTATTTCAGACAATTTAAAGCAAAACCAACGCTAAATATAATCATGTTTTTAATTACACTGTAATAATGGTGTTATTTATGGGTATCATTTATACCTATTAGTAATGTGAGACAGGTCTACTATTTAAATATTTACATCAAATATAATTACAGTTAAATACCACTCTTTAGAAATGATTTAATAAATTATTCTTATTTACATTTGTATTTTTAAATTTATAGTGATTTTCATTTATTTATATATATTTTTCCAAAGAATTAATTTATAATTGAAGCAAATATTCAATAACTCAACACTTTTTAACAGAAAAATTTTAAAATCTAATCAATTTATAGATAATTAGTTATGGTTAATAAACATGTTTGTTATTTAAAAATTTTATTATTCAAATTTAAGAATTATTTTCCCATTAATTTTGTATAATTTTGTGTATGATTTCGGAATAAAATTTAAAAATATGTAAATATTATATAAATTAAATATAATTACTTCAACTCAAATGCTTCTATGCTATTAATTATATACTTAATTAATCCCAAAAAATAAACGATTTTCAAATCGCCAAAAATAAAGTATAAATAATTTTTACGTCTAAGAGACAGAGAATCGATAAATTGATTAGATTTGAAAACACATTACGACAAACACATCGACAAAAACACATCAATTGCTTAGAAATCTGTTTTAAATTGCGATTTAAAATCCATTAAAACGTGTATCTGTTGTGTAGGTGCGGGTAACTGATGGTTAGTTTTGATTTGGATTATTGGTATTGAAA